ATCTGTGGGTAATTCGTGGTGATCTGATTTGTCCACGAATTTCCCACAGATCGTTGCTAGTGTGTGATTTCCCACAAGGTCTGTTGTGCGAAACTCGTGGGGAATTTAATGGCGGAAAATTTTTACCTACAGAATACCCACTACATCTTTTTTCGTTTGACATCTTGTGGGAAATCCTTGGAAAATCCGCGGGAAACACTTTTGGTCAAACTTTTGTGGGCAATGTGTGTGTATTTCGCGGGTAAATACCTACGAGTTACACACGACCGTTAATTTTTTGTGGGTACTGGCATGTTTTTTTTGTAGTGAATGGAATCATGAAAAATAATGTTAATCCACGTTTAATGTATACAGACTTGGTTCCAATTGTATACATATGTCGTATAATTATTTGCCAACTAATCTCTTTTTATTTTTTATAACCAAACTCTTTTCATTTTTGGAAAATATATCAGATGGAATTATTTGAAAAATAATATTAGCATATGTTTAATGTATCTAGACTTGATTTCGAATTCTATTCGTAATATAATGATTTTGTAACTAATCTTTATTTTTTTGGTAACTAATTTTTTTTTTAGAAAATATATCAAATGGAATCATCTAAAATAATATTAACATACATTTAATGTATATAGACATGGTTTTGAATTGTATTCGTAATATAATAATTTGGTAACTAATCTCTTTATTTTTGGTAATTAATTAATCTTTTTTAATTGAAATGTATCAAATAAAATCATTTGAGAAATTATATTAATCTATATTTAATGTATCCAAACTTGGTATTAAATTGTATTCATAATATAATTATTTGGCAACTAATCTTCTTTTATTTTTTTTAAATTAATCTCTTTTTATTTTTGAAATATATATATATATATATATATATATATATATATATGATGGTAAAGCTGGATGTCACGCCCCAAAATAGGGCCTAGTTGACACGCCACAAGTATGGTTTTCACATTGTCCAAAACCATACAAGTCAGGCCTTTTATTACTCTTAGTTTAAATAGATTCCAACCAAAACGGTTTACACTTTTAGTCTTTGAAAGAAAACATAATAGCAATCCAAAAGAAAAAGAACATAAGTTTCTTGTTTCTAAGAATACTTAAATGTCTTATTTCCATCCTATAAATTGGCAAGTTCTACCATTCTTCCTCGTTGTATCCTCTGTAGTTGTAGCCATCCTCGTTCTCACTCGAAGTATCTTAGCTTAATCAACTTCTTCTTTGACCGTTTTGTGACCTTTGCCTTCACATCTTTGGATGAATATTTCAAACCTACAGCTCCTGGATAAGTTCTTGACTCCCTTAAAGCTTTTTGATCTCTTCCTTGCATCTTCTTGGTTGTGGCCTTTCTCCCTAAGAGTCAGCCCAAACCTTTTTTTTTTTCCTTTTCTTTTTTATTTATTATTTTCTAATATATTAAATGTATACAGACTTGGATACAAATTGTATTTGTAGTATAATTATTTAGTAACTAATCTATTTTTATTGTTGAAAAATATATCAAATGGAATAATCTGAAAATTTATGAACCTACGTTTAATTTATCCAGACTTAGTTTCGAATTGTATTCGTAGTATAATATTTGGTAACTAATATATATATATATATATATAGATATATATATATAAATTTTGGTAACTAATATATCTTTATTTTTGGAAAAGATATCAAATAGAATCATCAGAAAATTATTATTAACCTATATTTAAGGTAATCAAACTTAGTTTCGAATTGTATTCGTTTAATTATTTAGTAAATAATCTCTTTGTTATCGTAAGTAGTCTCTTTTTATTTATGAAAAATATACAAATCATCTAAGAAATAATATTGTAAGCAGACTTGGTTTCGAATTGTATTTGTAATATTTTTTTAAATAAATATTGAGGTCAAGGCGACTTTCAGGTTCCAACTGATTCAAAAAAAAAAAAAAACTCAAGGGGTCTACCCAGGAGGTAAATTTTTGAATCAGCCAGTGCCATCTAGTACAATGTACCCAAGGGGTCTACCCAAGGGATAAACATTTATACTAGCTAGTTCCCTAGTTTCACCTCTCCCTTGCTTTTTATTATTAATAAAATAACAAAAGCTTATGGCAGAGCATGTATCATACTATAGTACATCATGTGGCCTTACTACGAATATAAGGGAAAGAAGATTGATCTAAGACCAATAATCCTTTTACATATCTAGGTAAAGAAGCTAACACTAAATACATTTCTGAGTTACCAGAAGATGCATTTTTGGCTAACTTATCAGCTACAAAGTTTGCTTCCCTAAAAACATGAGAAACTGTATACCCATTTCTGAGTATAATAGAAAGCACTTCCTGAAAAAGACCATGGGAAAGCCGAAGGATGGTTCAATGCCCAAGCCAAACTCTGATTATCAGTTCGTAAATAAACATTAGGAAGATTCATCATTTCACACTTTCGCAATCCGAAGAGAGCCCCCGCTATCTCTGCCATATAGCTATTACCATCTATAAGGTAACCACTTTCACCATAAACAAAAGTACCTTCCTCTCCTCGAATGACAAAACCATATCCCGCTTCCCCTAAAATAGATGAACCATCCGTATTTAGGACATAAGAATTAGAAGGAGGAGGAATCCGCCTAACCTCTTTAACTAGAGGCCGCGACTTCTTCTTCAAAGTAGCCCCAAAAAATTCCTAAAAAAAAGACTTCTCCGCCAAGGTTGCCACTTTCAAGTCATGCACTCTCAATAGATCACCAACATGAGTCTTGATTGCAAAAATTAGTTTTGATATCTCCATGATGCTGCCTTCAAAAATCACTTTGTTACGTGCCTTCCACGTCTCCCACATGATAATTGTAGGCATAACAATGTGAAACACTCCATAGGCCGACAAATGATCCCCCCTCCGCCACCATCTCCGAATCATTGAGACCAATGAGGAGCCCCCCTTTTATACACATCATTCCAGCAAAAAAAAGACCATACATTCATTATCTGGTGACAACCGAAGAAAACATGCTCTATATTTTCAGATTGCACCTTGCAAAAAGGGCAAATGGCAGGCAAGATTTGCAACCCCATTCTACTAAGAATTTATGGAAAAGGCAATAATTTATTATGTAATTTCCAAATGAAGAAAGATATCCTTAAAGGAACCTGTTTAGCCCACACAAAGCTCAGCTCCTTCACCTCTGCGCGCCTTCTCCTTGTAACCTCATAAGCTGACTTGAATGAGAAATTCCCTTTATTGTTAGGCTGCCAAACGAGGACATCATTTCCTTCACAGAAATCCTGCTCAAAATTTTCAAGAAAGTCACGAACATGGTTAGCAAAAACATTCTGAAATTGCAACAAGTATTATTGTTTATTTTCAAAGAATTCCCAAATAGTGAGCTCGGGAAAAGGGGGCTGTTGATGATCTAAATCCCATATTACTCCAAAGTCCACCCAATTGTCAAACCAGAAAGAACTTTCCCCTCTATGTATTATAATTTTTGAATGCATAGAAGCCCTTCTGTGAACTTTCTGAATGCGCAGCCAAGAGGTTTTTTTCTTTGCAGTGAAAGACAAGGATGTAAGAAATTTACTCCACATCCCTCTTCTAATCCTAAGCTTCCACCATTGTTTAATCATCAGAGCATCAATCATTCTTTGAAAATCTCGAATTCCTAATCCATTTTCAGCAGTGGGATATGTAAGGTTTTCCCAAGATCTCCACGGGCGCCTATTTGCATCATGAGTTCCATTCCACAAAAACTCTTGGCATTTCCTTTCCATTTCACGTATTATTTATCTAGGCAGAGGAATAGTTGAAAAAACGTGTATTGGATTAGAGGACAACACATGTTTAATCAGAATTAGTCGGCCTCCCAGACTTAACAAACGGCTTTTCCAACTAAGAAACTTTGCATCAATGGCTTCCAACAAAAATTGGAATGTTGCTGCCTTGCGCCTTCCATGAAACAATTGACATCTTAAGTAGACAAAAGGTAAAAAGCCTTTTTGAATACCTTGAGTGCGATTGATAATGCCAACCCTTCTACCATTACAACTATCAGCCACTATGAATGAGCTCTTTTGTCGATTAACCTTCTACCCCGAAGCCCTCTCATACAAAGAAAGAAAATTATTAATCTCAGAAAGAGACTTTTTCAGCCCTCTTGTGAAGATAATTAGATCGTCCAAAAGCCAAATGCAACACTACAAGAGACCTACTAGGAGTTCCATAAGCTGCAATTGCTACATCCCTCACTAAACTTTTCAAAGTTCTTGTCATAGTTTCAGAAACTATATTGAACATGTATGGCGACAATGGATCTCCCTGTTTGATACCCCGGGAAGATTGGAAAAATCCAACAGGACCACCGTTGATGAGAATCAAGAACTGGCTATTTATAAGGTTATTCATGATCATCAACACAAATCCATGCGGAAAACCAAATTTGAGCAGGACTTTCTCAAGAAAATTCCATTTAACTCGGTCAAAGGCCTTCTTCATATCCAATTTCAAAACCATATTATTACCAACCACTTTACGACCAAGAAATTGACATAGATTCTGAGCAAGCATTACGTCATCCAATATATCTCTTCCATCCAGAAAAGCCGATTGCTCCTAAGAAATAAGTTTAGGCAGCACCACTTTCAATCTCTCCATTAGTACTTTAGTGAAAAATTTATTCAAAAAGTTACACAAACTTATTGGTCTGTAATCAGAAAAAGTATTAACCGATGTTTTCTTTGGAATGAGAGAAATCAAGGTACTTGCAACTGCTCTTGGCAATGGAACTCCCGCAAAGAATTCTTGGCAAGCATACCACAGATCTTGAGAAATAATCTCCGAGCAACCTCTATAGAAGCTCCCTCCAAATCCATCTACACCCAGAGCCACATCATCGTCCAAGTTAAAAATAGCAGCCTTTAGTTCCTCCAAAGAAACAGGACTCATAAAGAAAGTACAATCATCAACCTCAATCAAAGGTGGAATGTGCACAATCAAGGCCAGCTACGCTTCTTCTTCTTGAACATCCAAATTATCATCCTGCAAAAGCTCTTTATAAAACTGGACCGCCTCTTGCTCAATCTCAGGCATATTTGTAAGGGTTTCACCATCAGCGGTCTGAATTTTGAAAAGATTTTGATTCAGTCTTCTTTCTTTCAGTGAATCATGGAAGTAAGCGGTATTCACATCCCCTTCTTTCATCCATTTAATCCGCATTTTTTGAGCCCAGTAATCATCATGTTCCTTTAACTTGAGAAGATAAAATGCTTTAGCCGCATTCAAAAGAGACCTATCTCGTTCAAGACCGGTCATATCATATAAACCTTCCAACTGTTGAACATTTGCTTCCGCTGATTTAAGGTTTTCAAAAACATCACCAAAAACTCCCTTATTCCATTCTCGAAGCTTAACCTTCAACCCACGAAGCTTCAACGAAAAACCATACATCCCAAAATAACCTAAAGGCTGGTCCCAACATTCCTTTACCACGGCCTTGAAATCATTTGACGCAGCCACATCTTTTGAAAGCGAAAAACCTTAGGTTTACTCGCAATTTGATGACCAAAAAGATGCAAGATTGGGCTATGGTCTGATGTAGTACGATTCGGGTTCTCTACTGAGAAAACTGGAAAGAGCTCATTCCATTCTTTTGTGAAGAGAACACGATCAAGTTTCTTAGCAACCCAGCCAGTACTTTGAGTTCCTCCCCAAGTGAAGTCTTCTCCTACAGCCACAATTCCATGAAACCGCAGCCTCAATACAAGTATTGAAATCAGTCATCGCAACGTTATCTTGGACAGAGACTCCCGAGTATTCTTCCAAAGTACGGATCACATTGAAATCCCCCCTATCATCTAGGGCGATGTCAAGTGGAGATGCCGAAATGTGATCATATTCTGCCATAAAGCTTGGCGAGCTAGTCTATTAGAACTTGCATACACCGCAGAGAAGAAAAAAGTATGTGGAACCGAAACATGTGAAGCCTCGAAGTGTAGAACTTGAGCATGAGATTCAAGTAAAGTAGCTGTAACCTCGTTTGAACAAAAGACCCAAATTTTGCTGTTATCTGCAGAGAAGGCTGAATGAAACCCTAACAGACGTCAGATTTCCTCCAAATTATTCATCGCCAACATGGGTTCCATGATCATAAGAATGGAAACCTTATTAATTTTTAGCAGAGCTTGCAAACGACGTTGCGAAGCTTGATTTCTAATGCCACGAACATTCCATATAAGTTCTCTAATCATTGGGAATTATTGGATAAAAAGAGAAGGACACTAATTTAATGCAACCATGGTGACCTTCTCAAGGCCACTCCTGCATGTAATTTGGCTAGCTCAGCCTTCATTTTTCGTCCACGTTTCTTAGCTAACGAGACAAACCCTTGTGCTGTCACTCGCTCTTGGTCCTCATAATCGTCCATATCCCCTTCAGACCAACTTCCCTGCTGAATAATTATTGTTTCACCAATCTCAGAATTTTTCCCAACCAAACCATCATCGGCAAAGTCACTGACCGGGAGAACTGTATCGTTATCCAATGCAGACAGCTCTTTTTGGAAGTCTTCCAATGTGGAACGTTTCGGCCCCAAATCCGCAGTCTTCTTCCTGCAGTGGGACAAACGTATCATTCTGTCTATTTTCAGAATTATCAGTAGGCTCTGAGTCATTTAAACCATCCTCCAGTGTCACATCTTCAACAATCTCACCTTCTTCCTCTTGAATTGTATCGAGGATAGCAAACTTATTTGCAGACGTCGCTACCACATGAGTCACAGGTAGCGAGTCGCGAGTCTGATCATCACTTGAATACTCCGTATTCTTCTTCAAACCCATTTCTTTTTGCTTGGGTGGAGAGCTCTCAATATCCACCACAATCCCGTCCTTCTCTTTTTGTGTTAAGCCAAAAGAAGATGGCTTTTTAGACGGCACATTCATCGACTGCGGGCTAGGGTTTACAGTCTCCTTGCGTTGCAAAACCCTAGGTTGCAGCTTTGATACTGGCTGCACCTTCTTGGCTTTAGTCTTCTCAATCAATTGCCTTGCATCCGTAAATTTCTTACCATCATGTTCTAAACTTTGACCAATCTTCTGCTTACATACAGTCTCGTTATGACCAATTTTCAGTCAATGATCACAATAAGATGGAATGAATTCATATATGAATGCTTGCTCATATTTCTTGCCTTTCTTCCCAATTTTAATAGAAGCCGGAAATTCTTTTTGTTTCGTTAAATCCACTTCCACACAGAAACGAGCGACTGAAGGCCTTGTGAGGTTCAGAGTCAGCGTATCCACTTGCAAGGGCTTGCCAATGGCGGTCGCAACTGAGAACAAGATCTGCGGGTTAAGAAACTCAACCGGCAGTTCATGTAAAGCTACCCAAATTGGAACGACAGGGGATCCTCTTCAAATCAAAAACCGGGTTGCCATTTGAGATACGCATTGCATAGACTTTGATATTCCACATTGTTTGAATCCAACAACGTTGAAAGTCCTATTCCCTTTCAAACCGTATGAGAATGTGTCTAGGGTTCGTGAGACCACTATGAAAGTCTCCCTGAAACCCTACTTTTTCCAATTCACTTCTTACTTCTTTTATTTTGGGCCTACCGTAAAAAAATTTTCCCACCAAATCCCATCGATGAGGGGCGATGAGTTTTTCATACTCGTCATCTTCCAACTCTAAAACCGGCGATCCATTGACATACGTCACTTGCTTATACTGTTTGTTGCCCGTGCAAACTTGGATTCCCCAGGTTGTTTGAAGAAACTTGTGAAGCTTCGGGGCAGACCAGTGGGGTCCGGCACAGAATGGCCTCCAGCCATTAATACCGTCGGATATGATTGACAGTGTTGTGTGAGAGAAGAGGAGAAGAGGAGTGATATTATAATTGCATTTTATTCAAAACAAATTGTATTTGTAATATAGTTATTGGTAACAATTTTTTTTGATAACTAATATCTTTTAATTTTTGGAAAATATATCAAACAAAATCATCAAGAAAATTATATTAACTTACGTTTAATGTATCCAGACTTAGTGTCAAACTGTATTCTTAATACAACTATTAAGTTGATAATTAATGTTTTCATCATGCCATATATTTGTCATTATTTACCAAACACGTGATATTTACTTTTCTGAAATTAACTTTTGATTAATTACTTAATTCAATTTAACAATTTTACATATTAGTAATAAACTTTAACTGTTTAATGAAGGAGAATTTTGGTAACGACACATAGCACAATTGGCTAAACTTGCTCCCTGGGTGACACGTATCGATTAAGAACTCTGCTTTAATATATACTAGTGTTTATCCCGCACGTTGTGCGAGTTGTTTAAGATATATGAGAGTTTAATGATTTTAGGATTGTATAACATTTCCGACGGAGTGATATATGTAAAATAAAAAAATATTAACGATATAAAATGCAATTGTGTAATTTTTAATGTGAATGACGAAGCATAGATCTGCACGGTGCCTTAGGATGGGCGGCGATGATGATTTAGGAGGTGGCGGACAGCCTAAAACATACAAGATAGAGCTCGGGAGCCTCCCCAGGGCAGACTCTCTGATACTTAAGTCAATAAGAGAATAGAGAGAGAGGTTGTGTGCGTGTGTAGAAGAGAGCTAGAAGATAGGTAGAAGTTATGAAATATGGGAGATGTACCACTTCTTTATTTAAAGGTGGTGTTACCTGTTTCCTGAAACCCTAGCAGAACTAGGTTTAGGCGGTGGCTTAATCTCCATGTAATCCAATCCTAGGCCCAATAGGCCTAGGGTTTGTTTTGGACTCGTCAAGTGCCCCTAGCAAGCCATATTCTCGAGACTTGATGAGAAGGATATGGGTCGCTACGAGTGTTGATGTCTTCTCGTGGTGTCGCCCCAGTTCTCAGGTGTCACCTATAGAAAGATAAAGAGAATATAATGTGTCAAGGAGGTCTTTGTGTTAGTAAATTCCTAATTGGTAAGGGGAAGCCTGTGTATGCCGAATTAGGAGGATGGTGCCTAGATTCTCTTATTTGAAGGTGAGAAGCATGTATTCTTTTATTTGAAGGTGAGAAGCCTATAGTGCTTGTCGTGCAGGTCTTGTGGCTGTGCCCATCTAGTAGGTCTTATTTGGCCGTTGCCCGTCTAGCCGGTCTTTGTGGGTCGTGCCCGTCGAGTAGGACTTATGTAAACCCGGTGTCCGTCTAGCGGCTCTTTCGCTAATATGCAATATTATGATGTATGTATCGAAAAGATATTGTCATATGATATAAGTAATATGCATATAGTAAGAATTATGATGTCAGTGATATATGAACATATGTTCGAGAAGCATATAATAATGACAAGGTTTGAGAAGTACCTTGATCTCGAGATAAATCGATTATTTGAGAAGGTGTTACCTCGATTCCAAGAAGGTGTTACCTTGATTCCAAGAAGGTAGTAGTTGAGTAGATAAAAGTCGAGATACATCTTCTCGAACACTTTGAGTAGTAGTATGGTGCTCGAGGGATGGTTGCCCCTTCGAGGAGATGTATCTCTCGAAACTCCAATCTTCGAGATTGCCCCATGCTAATCTGTAAAATTTTAAAATCTTTAGGGACTAAATAATTAAAATTAATAGGCAAGGAATTCTCAAATTGAGGAATTATTCTCGGCTGAATATTCTGCCCCTTTTGACGGATTTTGAACTCCAGGGACTGTTCTTCTCGATCAGCTGTGGAGCAAGTGTGGCTCCTTGAATTATTTGTGCAATCCAAAGCTTCTTTGTGCTACTTGTCAGCTGACGTCTTCTTGGCCAAACAAAGATAATTTTTTGCGTGATCTTCTAGTTGCAAAATCGGAGCAACGAATTAACACCGTGGCTGCCCAAAGCTACAAAACATTCCGTGCTTCGTGAAGAAATTTATTTGGTTGTGAAGACCAAACAAATCGGTCCCACTGGGCATGCCACTTGACGAAGCATGGATCTGCACGGTGCCTTAGTACGGGCGGCAATGATGATCTAGGAGGCGGCGGATAGCCTAAAACCTGCAAGACAGAGCCTCAGGGGTCTTCCGGGTGTAGACTCTCCGATACTTAAGTCAATAAGAGAATGGAGAGAGGTTGTATGCGTGTGTAGAAGAGAGGTAGAAGATAGGTAGAAGATATGAGATATAGCAGAGGCACCACCTCTTTATATAAAGGTGGTGTTACCTGTTTCTTGAAACCCTAGCGGAATAGGTTTAGGTAGTGGCTTAATCTCCAAGTAACCCAATCCTAGGCCTAGGGTTTATTTTGGACTCGTCAGTGAATGTGTTTAGTTATTTTAAGTATATTTAGAATTATTTTAAATATTGAAAATTATCCAATATAACTTACTGTCCATCTTTTTCATTTTATTGATTTATAGTTTTATATATTTTAAACGAATTCTCTTAATTGTTTATAATAACGTCTCTAGATATATCTACCCGTGTCACATCATTCAAACTTTCTCTATAACAGAAAATTTTCTAATTATTTCTTTTTGTAAGCTTATCTTTTCCATCTCTCTATATTTCTTTTGCAACTTTTCTTTAAAAGTTTGTTCGTATATTTTTCCAATAATATAATATTTATTTTAGTTTATTTTTGGATTGCATAGTCTTCACTTTTTTTTTAAAAAAAATTTGATTACCTCTCTTTAAAGCTTAATTTCTTGAAAATTTTGTAACAATTATCTTTTTTTCACTTATCTCATTTTTTTTTTCATATTTTCTTACTCTCTGCATAATTTTTTCCTCCATATAATTATTTTCAATTTCTCAATATACTCTAATGTTTGTCTCTCACAAAGACCTCTATCCTTTTTTTCTCATTTCGGAATTTCTTCTTATTGATCTCTACGTTTTATTTTATCATCATAACGTTAACTTTTTCTACCATTATATCATATAAAAAAATATAATGATTATATTATATTATTATATTAATTTATTAGTAATCATTTATTATATTATTTTATAATATATAATATAAAATATTATTATATTATGAAAAGTTCGCCTAAATAATATATAATTTCATTATTAGTATTACTATTATTTTAATTTTTTATAATGTTTCACAATATAATCAATAGCAATCATTTATTAGTATTGCCCGCTAAGAAGAAAAAATATGTGTTACTATTAAAAAAGAATTTATAATCAAAGCACCTCCAAGTGAGATAAAACCCAATACACTTACCAATAAAAAAACTCCGATTAATGATTATACTTTAACACTTAATTATAGAAATCAATATTGATCGGTGAATCGCTATTTCTCATGGTGGCCATTGGGGGTTTTTTTTTTTCTTTTTTACATCAAATTGGTTTTTATGATTTTTGTAGTTCAGTTGGTTATTTTTTAATTTATTAGTTTGAAGTTTTTTTTGGACCACCTCTCTTTTTGCTATTAAAATTTACCGTTAATGGATAATCTCTCAATTAATTATTATATTGAAAATAATCAATTTCAACCAATCTTGATTGGTGAATTAGGTTATTTTTGGATTGGTTGGAGAGATGGAGTTATTTTGCATGAAACTCTATAGAATTGGAATTACCGAAAAAATATTATTGTTATGGATTGGATTAGTGTAGTAAGTGATTGTCAGTGTTCATATGATGACCGATTCATTGTTTCGGGTTATTTCTGGATTGGTTTTGAAAAATTTCCCACTTAATTTAGTTTTTATTTATAAATTTACAATTTTACAACAAAAAATTACCATTAAATGATAATGTGATGTGGTTGCGACATGTGGACTTGGTTATCTAATTTTTTGACATGTGGATTAACCTATCTAATATTACGCCATGTGTCCGATTGAAACTCTGCTTTAATATAATACTAGTGTTTATCCCGTGCGGGTAGCTCAACGTATATGTGAGTTTAATGTTCTAACGATTATATGACATATCTGATAGAGTGAGATATAAATGTAATAATAATAACATTACTGATATAGTCTTTGCTTTGTTTTTCTAAATTTGATTACTTCTCTTTAAAGCTTAATTTCTTGATAATTTTTTAATAATTACCTCCTTTTTCACTAATATTTTTCTTTAAAATTTAATTATTTTTCTTTCTTAATCTCTACATAATTTTTTCCTCCATATAATTGTTTTTTAATTTCTTAAATATTTTTCTTTAACTATTTGTCTCTCATAAAGACATTTATTATTTTTTTAATTTTACATAATGATTTCTATAAATATTTTTATCTGTGTTATATCTTTTAAATTCTCCCTCTAATGCGAATGAGGAGTTGGTTCAAAAACCACTCTTGCTCCAAGAAGAGGTCATGAGTTCAATCCCCCACTCCAACAAAAAGTGAGGGATTGGCTCTCACCTTGGCTATTGGCATCTCTAGGGGTTTGTTTTGGCTAACCTACTAATGAACCCCCGATTTCGCACCGGAACTTGTTACCCCGGGGGCTTGGCTAGGGTGGTTTACCTCCCATTTTGGTTTGCAAACTATTGCAGTGGACGTGGATTTACCCATCTCTGGTGGGTTCCCAGCGTTACCCAAAAAAAAAAAAAAACTCCCTCTAACAGAAAAATTTTTTATTTTATATTTTCATAAAATTATCTATTTTCCTTCCCTTTATATACCTTTTTTCACCTTTTTTTAAAAAAAATTTCTTTGTATGTTTTTCTTATAATATAATGTTTAATTTTTTTTTGTTATATAGTCTTTGTTTTGTTTTTCTAAATTTGATTACTTCTCTGGAAAGCTTAATTTCTTGATAATCTTGTAATAATTACCTCATTTTTCTTTAAAGCTAATTATTTTTTCTTTATCTTTCTTAATCTGGACATAATTTTTTCCTCCATATAATTATTTTTGAGTTTCTTAAATATTTTTCTTCTACTATTTGTCTCTCACAAAGACATTTATTCTTTTTTTCATTCTAGAAAACTTTCTTCAGATTAATCTCTACATTTTTGTTTGTTATCATATTGTTAACTTTTCTTTTTACCATTATATCATATGAAATATAATGAATATATTATACTATTATTCTATTAATTTATTAGTAATCATTTGTTAAATTATTATTTTATAATATATAATATAATATATTATTATATTATTAAAATTTTGGTTGATTAATATATAATTATATTCATAGTATTATTATTATATTTTTTTCTTTTATAATTCTTACACAATTTAATCAACAAATAATCATGCCCGTTAATGGGAAAAAAATATATTATCATTAAAAAAATTTTCCAATTGAACCACCACCAAGTGAAATAACATAAATATAGAATCAATATTGATAGGTAAATTAATTTTTTTAATTATGGATGTCGGGGTTTTTTTTAAAGAAAATTGATTTTTTTTTTAGTTTTTCTTTTTTAATATTTTTTATGTTTGTCTTCATCAACGTGTGGTGCTGGTTGGGGGTACTGAAATAACATAACTATAGAATCAATATTGATAGAGAAATTAATTTTTTTCTTTCATTATGGCAATCGGTTTTTTTTCTTTTAAATAAAACATATCAAATTGATTATTTTTTTTAAATTTTTTTTTATGTTTCTCTTCACCAGCGTGTGGTGTGGTGGTGGGTGGGGGGGAATCGAATTTTGCTGAGGGAGTTAACTTTTACCCTCTCTGTTTTTTTTTTACTTTTGTAATTTTTACTTTTATTTACAATTTTTACATTAAAAAATTAACATTAAATGATAGACTGATGTGGTTACGATATGTGGACTTGGCTATCTAATTTTATGTCATGTGGATCAACCTCTTTAGTTTTACGACATGTGTTCGATTAAAAACTCTCTTTAATATATATATATATATATACATATATATATGGGAAATTCTATGGTCCAGTCATTAGATAAGGCGCACCATATGTGATTTTGGGGTGTAAAACACCATAGCAAAATCATATTAATTAATTAGATAAGTTTCTATTTTTTTAATAAAAAATTACTAAAATAAATCAAATTTAACCTTTAAAATCCATATATGGCCGGAAAAGTTGTCACAAATCCTAGGAAAGCAAAGAATGCACGCCGGGTTTAAGCAAAATTCAGGCGGCGGTGGCCTTAAAAAAATAAAAATACTTAAGCATGTAAATTAACAAAAATTGAGAATTTCAGTAAATGATCTGAAACATAACTATGCTTACAGTTTTAATCCACAATTTTCTGCACCTTTAAAATCCTTTAAACTTTCTGCACCTTCACTATCCGGAAAAAGCCGTCGTTGGGTGTGGTTATTGCTGGCGCCTTCTTTATAGCCTTATGCGCTCGACTTTTAATATGGATTTATTCCAAGATGTTCAAACAAGCCAAAAATTCAGAGAATTTGGCCAATGATGTCATCAAAATACCCAAGGAATTCAGCTATAAGGAGCTTAAATTAGCGACATAGGTTTCGATTCATCGAGAATCATTGGATACGGTGCATTTGGAATCGTTTACAAGGGCATATTGCCGGACAACGGCGACATTGTTGTGGTGAAGATGTATAGTCACAGTGGACAGGGGAAAGCATGTTCTTGTCTGAATTGTCCATAATTGGGACCTTCCGGCATCAGAATCTGGTTAGGCTTAGGGATGGTGCCATGAAAAGCATGAAATTTTGCTAATCTATGACTTGATGCCTAATGGCAGCCTCGATAAGGTATTATTTGAGTCCAGAATGGTATTGCCTTGGGCCCTTCGCATCATAGACGGAAAAATTGTTAGGCGTGGCTTCTGCGTTGGCTTATTTACATCAAGAGTGCGAAAACCAAGTTATTCACAGATACATTAAGAGTAGCAATATCATGTTAGATGAAGCATTCGATGCAAGATTAGGAGATTTTGGGTTAGCTAGGCAAGTTAAACATGACTAATCCCCTGACGCCACCGTCGCGGCGTCACTGCCGGTACAATGGGTTACCTGGCTCCGGAGTATTTATTAACCAGTAGAGCCTCCGAGAAAATCGACAATTTTAGCTACGAACCGGTGGTTCTTGAGGTGGCAATGGGCGGTGGTTCAGTTTGATGGCAGAGAATCTTGTTTTCTGCTGGAATCCCTTCCGGCACTGTGCATATGACCTATGGTGACGACGGATGGGAACTACTCTACGCTAGACGGCTTCTGGATACCGCCAACTATGGCTCTCAAAACTTCGGACTATATTAACTCGAAGATGGCTGGAGGGTGGTTGAAAATTTCAAAGAAACAATTTTTTGTTTTTTATTTTGTCATGGGTAGTGCTATCGGATTGATAATTTACCAGTAGCAATGCAATTATCTTGTGTGGTGGGGTGTGTTTTAATTTTATAAAACCTCATTTTAATCAAATGGTTGTTATTAATTCTGATCATCCGACGGCTCTCAATATCAAATGGACTATTCGGTCAACTGGATTGTAGTCACTCCCTACCTATGCAACTAATAATAGTAAATTCTTAAAAGTTCCAATATTTAGAAAAATCGAAGTTAGCAGGTGGAATCCATTGCGGAAAAACACGAACTTTGATGAGGAGGAATTTGAAGAAATCTACACGCAGACTGATTTCCAGCCGGGTAGCCTCTTAGGTGTCTTGTGTGTAATCAATCTATATGCTTCTGTTTCATAATCTTCTATACCCAAAAAATGAGGAGCACATAAACGTAATTGAGGTAGAGCATTTATATTAGATTCACTGTTAGACATTTTTTAGTCAGAAAGAGAATCAATTGAATGCAAAATTGCGACATAATAATTAATAAATGAGTTAGTTTTTCATGGCATAATGGTGAGATTTAAATCACTAGTACATCAAAAAAGTTGGGAGGAGAAAAAGAAACACAAATTAAGCACCCTTTCTTCTTCATCACTTGAGTAAAGACTTCACTATGGACTTGGCATTCAGCTTCTTCAAATTTGCGTAGGATTGCCCACATCCAACAAACATAATGGGTGCTCCAGATATGTATGTCATAGAAAGTGCAGCTCCAACCTTGTCATCAATGGCATCAAACTTTGTGAGCAGAATTCCGTCAATCAACCGGGGATTTTCACGCGAAGGAGAAAGCTCCCCGAGTTTCTGACTAAACTTTGACAACTGATCCACACCATCATTACCAACTAAGGCTTCACCAACAAACAGTATCAAGTCCGGGTTATTGACGTAAACCAGCTTCGAGAGCGCGCGCATCAGCGGTTCATTGTTCTGCATCCGTCCCGCAGTGTCAACCAGTACCACGTCCGAACCATTTTGGGGGGCCTCTCGTATCGCTTCCTTGGCCACGACCGCAGGATCTTTCTCGTACCCCTTCTCGAATATCGGAATCTGGAGTTTGTGCGCGTGTATGCGAAGCTACTCGACGGCACCTGCGCGAAAAGTATCGCAAGCTGCGATCATTACGCGCACATTGTGTTTTTGTAGCCAGTAAGCGACCTTAGCTAAGTTAGTAGATTTTCCAACTCCATTGACACCAACAAAAGCCATCACGTACGGTTTCCCTTGATCCTTTGCAGCATAAACATCCCTCAAAATGTCAATCGACCTTCTTGGAGTTAAAACACGAACAATCGCCTCTTCCATCGTGGCCTCCACAGTGGAGGAGATTCGACTAAACGAGGCCAGAGTTTTACCCTCGAGGCTTGCTGCGACAGAGTAGCAGATTTTGTCAGCTATTTCTTGAGCCACATTCTTGGCAATCAGCCTATCTTTTAGAGCCTTCAAAGCAGGTTCAAGATCCGCCTTATCTAGACTCGCCTTTCCAACGACGCAATTAAACATGGTTGAGAACCACCCATTATTCTTCTTTTTCTCAGTAGTCTTAGAATCCTTTTCTGTTTCCTCTGCTTCAATTTCCCCCTTGTCCATCATACTCTCGCCGCCATGATCCATATGGAAAGCAGGAACATTTTCACTCACAGGATCATGATCAGTAGAAAAATCCAACTCTTTTTGTGAAAGCGGCTGCGAATCATTCCAAACTCTCGGCGCTTTCTTGAGGGCCTCCTTGGGACACTTTGGAACTCTCTTCGCAGCTTTGCCTCCTCCTCCTCGCAGCTTCCTCAGCCTATCTCTGTCAAAAGCCATAGTACTTGAACTCGGATTTCCATCACCATTAGCATCTACTTCCACTTTCGCGGCAAGATCGCCATTGGAACGCCCGTCTACGAGTGCATTAAGTTTAGATTTCTTACCATCCTTATCCTCTTCATCACTCTTTTTTTGTTTACCTTCATCAGCAGCAGCTCCAACACCCTTACCAATACCCACATTACCTATGCCGGCGCCAACCTTCGCAGGCTGCTTAGGTTTCCTGGCTCTCTCGGCGCGATCCTCGGATTCTTTCTTAAGCTGTTGAAAGATATCATCAAAATCATTGTACACCATTCGTTTCGGTTCATACACTTTGGAAAACTCTTGCTTAAGCATCTCCAGCAAATCATCCACGTACAAGAGACGGAGAATCCGCGGATAAACCGCGGCAAACACGAGCCCTAGATCGTTGTTGAATGTCCATTTGAGAGTGTAGGAAGGCCCAAATGGTACGTCGTAATTGTACGATGAAGCACCTGATTGGTCCCCCAACAGACAACGCTTGATTAGGGTATCAAAAGTTGATCCTTTGAGAGCTATTCCAGGCTCCTTAAATGTCCAGAGGATCAAACCCCCCCTCTGGTGAAAATCATTAACTGTTCCAACATTGTCAATTAATTAATTCACACTCACTCTTTTCTGATTCGATATTTGACAAACGTATAGGTTTTACGAATTGTTATGATGAACCGATGTGAGGCAGAGGGTTGTATTTTATATAGAGGGGTTTTTCACCCTTTTCCCTCCCTGATTTGGTTTCGGGACGGTTGATGCAATACCATTGCTTCTCTTAATAGGATATCGTAACACTATTAGAAGTGTAAAAAAATAATTATAACTAAGTTAAATTAATTTTGTAACAATACTTGAATGTCAAAATTATTTATTATATTTCATGATATGTTGACATGAATCAAGACAACTATTGACACAATAAAAAAAAAGAAAAAATGGATTCTGACCACGAATATTTTAAACAAGTATTATTTGTTAATTTTATTCACACAACTATTCGTAAAAATGAAAATCCTAATTATCATGACTTCAGTTTAATTTCTTTATTTCTATGAAAAATATTTTAGTACATATTCTGTTATTACAATTGATTAATAATAGTTTCGTTAGAATATCTAAATGGATGTTATTAGTTAGGATAAGTTTTGTTGGAATACTCTAGATATATTTTATTAAGTTTTTCTTTTTGCGGAAAACTAAATACATAATAAAATTGTTTAGAGTTGCACATTAAGTGTAATTTAAGATAGTTTTAGAATTTTTATACTTGCCTATAAAATTCAAAAACATGGAAATACATGTACATTTAATCAACTTATAAAAATTGCACCAAAAGTCCCCCACCAGTATTTATTTTTGTCTTCCAAAAATAGAGAATCAAGTAAGTTGACCAATTTGATCATCATCAACTTTTATTCTTATATTATATGCATTTGTTTTATAATTATATACCTTTTATTTTGGACTACTTTTAGGAGTCATTTTAATAATCCATTTTAAACCGCACAACGATCGGAGATAAATGTAGTAATAACAAAACTCATATGTTTTAGGTGAAAATAAAGATCATATGAATGAATTTGTGGTGAATACAGTATTGTTTTAGTAAAGAAGTCTTTGCCAAATTAATTTGTCAGTTTAATTCTCTCCTTCCATTTAAAGAAAAAGTTTTAATTCTCTCTCTAAAATTTAATTATTTTTTTCTTTCTTAATCTCTACATAATTTTTTCCTCCATATAATTGTTTTTTAATTCCTTAAATATTTTTCTTTTACTATTTGTCTCTCATAAAGACATTTATTATTTTTTTAATTTTACATAATGATTTCTACAAATATTTTTATCTGTGTTATATCTTTTAAATTCTTCATCTAATGCGAATGAGGAGTTGGTTCAAAAACCACCCTTGCTCCAAGAGGAGGTCATGAGTTCAATCCCTCACTCCAACAAAAAGTGAGGGATCGGCTCTCACCTTGCCTATTGGTATCTCTAGGGGTTTGTTATGGCTAACCTATTAATGAACCCCTGATTTCGCACCCGAACTTGTCACCCCGGGCTTGGCTAGGGTGGTTTACCTTCCATTGTGGTTTGCAAACTATTGCAGTGGGCGTGGATTTACCCATCTCTGGTGGGTTCCCAGTGTTACCCAAAAAAAAAAGAAAAAAATCCCTCTAACAGAAATGTTTTTCATTTTATATTTTCATAAAATTATCTATTTTCCTTCCCTTTATATACCTTTTTTCACCTTTTTTGTTTTGAAAATTTCTTTGTATGTTTTTCTTATAATATAATGTTTTTTTTTTGTTATATAGTCTTTGTTTTGTTTTTCTAAATTTGATTACTTCTCTTTAAAGCTTAATTTCTTGATAATCTTGTAATACTTACCTCATTTTTCTTTAAAGCTAATTATTTTTTATCTTTCTTAATCTCTACATAATTTTTTCCTCCATATAATTATTTTTGAATTTCTTAAATATTTTCTTCTACTATTTGTCTCTCACAAAGGCATTTATTCTTTTTCTCAGTCTAGAAAACTTTCTTCGTATTAATCTCTACATTTTGGTTTGTTATCATAATGTTAACTTTTCTTTTTACCATTATATCATATGAAATATAATGAATATATTATACTATTATTCTATTAATTTATTAGTAATCCTTTTTTATATTATTATTTTATAATATATAATATAATATATTATTATATTATTAAAATTTTGGTTGATTAATATATAATTATATTCATAGTATTATTATTATATTTTTTTCTTTTATAATTCTTACACAATTTAATCAAAAAATAATCATGCTCGTTAATGGGAAAGAAATATATTATCATTAAAAACATTTACAATCGAAGCACCACCAAGTGAAATAACATAAATATAGAATCAATATTGATAGGTAAATTAGTTTTTTTCATTATGGATGTCGGGGTTTTTTTTAAAAAAAATTTGATTTTTTTTAGTTTTTTTTTTAAAATTTTTTTTTTATGTTTGTCTTCATCAACGTGTGGTGCTGGTTGGGGGTACTGAAATAACATAACTATAGAATCAATATTGATAGAGAAATTAATTTTTCTTTTTCATTATGGCAATCGGGGTTTTTTTTTTTGAAATAAAACATATCAAATTGATTTTTTTTTGAATTTTTTTTTTATGTTTCTCTTCACCAGCGTGTGGTGTGGTGGTGGGTGGGGGAGAATCGAATTTTGCTGAGGTAGTTAACTTTTACTCTCTCTCTCTCTGTTTATTTTTTACTTTTGTAATTTTTAGTTAATTTAGTTTTATTTACAATCCATTGTACTTAATTAAAGCATCATACAATGAGGACACGTGTCAGCTTCACATTAAAAATTTTCCCGCCAAAGTTACTTTTCAGTACAAAATGAAAAATGCCACGTGGCTCATCAGATGAGCAGAAAAATGATGTTTGACGAAATTTTTTTAGGGATTTATTTAAGAAAATAAAAGAAAGAAAAAAATCTATCAAAGTTATCTCCCTAAAATTTTGGCAGTCTGAATTAATCTCATAATTACAGTATATGTATATATCAATTAATGTAAGTAAGCTTGATAATAAACAATAAATAAAAGAATTATTAGTAACAATTCTGTTTATTACAGTACAAAAACGCAACGGTAAAATTTGTAAATTCTTTTAACCCAATTATATCATGAATCCAGATATGTGTCATTATCAAATTTGACTGCATCGTCATCTGTTTCATTCCCTGAAATCTGCCTTAGTCGTCTCTTTTCCATATGTTGTTGCTGCAAATATACGGTAAACATCAGATAATCTTCCCAAATAACAGTTTTGAATTTTATAATTTACATATTCAAATTAAATTAAATAACAATTCATAACAAGTTCATATCCTTACCATCAGTGATTGATTGATTGATTGATCCATGTTTATCTCCTTAACAATCAATAGGTGAATATCTCTTATGCAGTTTTTCAGTTAACATCAGAATCTCAGAGATATGCTTACCTTCAGAATTTCATGGAATTGAATATCACATGCTCTATATATATACCTTGACAGAGATATGTCATACTCACCAAAACCTGGGACCATTTATTCTCAAGCTCCAATTGTTGCTTCTGTTTCCTATTCAAATTTCCATTCTCCCACTGTGGCTGCAACTCCCATGTCTTCATCAGAAACCCCCACTGTTTCTGCAACTCCCATGGCTTCATCAGAAACCGCTGATGTTGATTCTCATAATCAAAACTATCCTGAAAATCCAATTGCTGGATCTGAAACCCACAATGTTGCTAATGCAGTGGAAACAGATACACCTGTTTTTGATTATGAAAAACAACACCATGCTGAAAAACCACTTGCTGGAAATCAAACCCCCTAATGTTGATCAGACATTTCCAACAGGTTCTGCACAAAGGTACATTGCTGACATCAATGGCTTGGTACCAACCAAAATTATCCATTTCCACATAGTTGTTCGTGTTATGACCATCTGGAAAATGATAGAGAATAAAAATAAGAATGTCAAATCTGTTACGTTGGCATTGATTGATGCTCAGGTATTATATTATTTAATACAGTATTCAACATCAAACAATGTTTTACACATTAAGAAGATGCAATTCTTATATGCTTATTTGTCCAAACTTTTTGAAATATAGGGATCCAAGATTCAGGCTACTATACCTGCGAGGATAATGAAAGATTTCCAGAAGTATTTCCTTCAAGAGGGTTGTGCCAGGAAGATCTCACGTTTTGATCATTACCTGAATATAAGTGGGGGATACCGTTGCTCAAAACACGAATACAAAATTGTATTCCGACCTAACACATTGGTTCAATCTGTTGGTTACCATGACATCCCTAATCATGTATTTGAATTTACCCTTTTGCAGAAATTACCAATTTTGTTGCAAATTTTGACTTCTGTTTTGGTAAGGACAACATCTTTCAGATTTGAGTATAATATTTTCCTTATGTATCTTTTAAGCAAACATGCAAGTATGATTAATATGCATACATTTATTTCAAATTTGTTGGGACACATAATTGGTTACAGTGATCCAATTATTGATAATGGTAAGAAGAGAATTTCGGTTGAATTGGAAGATGAAAGGTAAGTGATTTTACCAATGTATATAATTTTTTTACTAATTTTGTATATATATTCTTATTCAATTCAGTATGCATAAGTTATTTTGACTAAATTTACATTAATTGTAGGGCCGATAGGTTAAAGGTCACATTATGGGATGAGCACGCAGACAAGGTTTATACCATGATGACTAATAATCCTGATTACCCTGTTGTCCTGATTGTTCAGTATGTCAAATGCAAGAAATACTACTGTAAGTATATTGGGTTTTAAAGCATATATCTTTGTTTGTTGACAAGAAATTTCAGCAGTTTTAGTGACACACCTATACTCTAATCTGATCCAGCTAAAGTTTCAATCACAACGAATCTGTTCAATGGTAGGATTTTCCTAAATGACATGACCATTCCAGATATATACGAATACAAATTCAGGTAAAAGAAAATTAATGTCACAGTTTATACAAATACTTAAATGAAACCATCCATGCAGTGGCAAGTAATGAACTCACCTTCACAGGGTTGATTAGGCAGATATTAGATCTGCAAGCATCCAAAATATATCCATGCTATCTTCCATTTCTGGATACACAAATTTCGAGGAATTTGTGCGTGATGCTGAGATGTTGACACTGGCTGGGATTGATGATTTGGAACAGGTAACATGTTAATATATACTTTCAAGCCATACAAAGTAAGGTTACTGATATATAATCTCTATTGATTTCTTACCCTGTATTGTCATATTTTACAGCCATCAGGTGTTGTTGTTTTTGCAAAGATATCTGGATTGGCAAAAGAGGATGACTGGTTATACATAGGCTGTAGCAACTGTAATAGTAAGGTCGTTGAGATAGAATCATCTGCAAAGGAAAACCTCACTGGTGGGAAACAACGGTCGGCCTTTGGCAAAGGTAGAAAGGTAGATAATGAAAAGCCAGTTGGAGTAGCAAAGAAATGGATGTGCAAAAACCATGGACCTGTTTCTGCCGTCGCTGCAAAGTAAAACAACTATAGTCACGTTATATAGTTTATAATATTTTTCATACTAAAAGTTTACATTATCTCTCGCTATTACTTTGTACAATCTGTAACTGCTGCACAAATTTCAGATTCAAGTTGCAGGTATATTTAGTTGATGGTTCAAGTAGCAGAATCGGTACTCTATGGGACAGAATGGTGTACAACTTCATAAACAAGACCGCTTCTGTGCTACGTGAAGAGGTACAAATTAAATACCATTACAGGAATAATTGTTTCTATGCAACTGTAATTGTTGCAAACCTTTCAAGTTATTGATTATTATCTGCTATTAATCATGCTATAACAGTATCCCAAAGGTTACCCTGACATTCCAGATGAAATTGTGGGGAAAAAGTGTCTGTTCAGGCTAGATGTCTCAGACTATAACATTAGAAACAACACCAGTGAGATATCAGTTGCAAGGGTTACAACAGATGCAGACGTTATAATGAAGTACCTTGATGCTGTTTCAGATGATCATGTTTTAACTATAACATCTATTTATGTAAATCATTATAACTGTTGCTATTGTTTACAAGTTACATTATTTCATACATTTTGCAGGAAATAGATCCTGATCTAAGTGTCGAGTTCTGCCACAATTTAACCCCATTATCTGAGAGCACTGCGAAGGTATTTAATAGCAACAGTTTATTTAATGTACAAAGAAAACATACATATTACTGTAAGTGAACAAGTTTGTTGACTTACTATTCCTTATATTTACAGACAGCAGTTTCTTGCACTGATGATACCGATATGAGAGCTCCTGGAGATGAAACGGGTGACAGTCCTCCACCGAAGAAGAATGCATCTGCACAATGTGGCGAAGAAAGTGTCAAGTCCCAGCCCAACAAGCGTGTCAGAAAGCTTTAATCCGAATGAACAATTACCAAGAATTTTACTGTCTTAATAAAGGATTCATGTTTTAGACAATTTATTTGCCTTCACAGAATTTAGTTTTTGTTGGGAACTTTATCCTTTAATCCGTCTTTCTCCTCTAAGATCGGTACATCCGTTGGATTTCATCATGGTGGTTTCAAACTTATTTGTTTAAGTTTCATAATATTATGCTGTATGATATGGCGATTTCCATATTTGCATTATTGAGCTTGAGAATATTTGTATCCATTTTACATTTCTTATAATTTTTATGTTCCTTCTAACAATAGATCATCACCTGCATATTTGCTTTTACTTCCTAATAAAAATTGCAGGTTTCTGAAGTTGATGGATCATGCTGCAGTACTGGTAAAATATGAGTATACATGCACTGGTAAGGAAGATTGTATGTATTTATATAATGTACATATAAATACATGGTTTACTTGCAAGTGGAAAAATTTGATGACTTACTATGCTTTATATTTACTGATTTCACTTTTGTGCTCTGCGTGTTCTGATAAGGGGCGTCCTGGAGATGAAACAAATCACATGCTCCACTGAACAGTTTATCATTTCCTCAACTTAGTGAATAAGTGTCAGTTTCAACTCCAACAAGCGTGTCATGAATACACGCTGCAAGTTTTTGTATCTTTGTATTAAAGGAAGGATCTATTCATTAATTCCAGATTCATGATTACTAATGTTTAGTTTGCTGCTTACTTTTTCAGCCATTTCGGTTGTTTTTCCTGCAACAAGTACACTTTTTAGGTTTCTGAGGTTTGTTTTAAAAATTATACAATCATGTTTTCAATGTTATCAGTTAATATATGTCGATTTAAGAATGTGAATTATTTGTAATAAATTATTGGTTGTGTCCGTTTTACACTTACAGGACAAAAACTAAACACAATTATATGTATACAAGTTATATTTTTAATATAAATTATTAAAAAACTAATGCACAGTTTAATATCAACTATATTTAGATAAACAGAAAAAAGAAAGATAGTACATAAAAATATGATTCTCAGAATCTTGATAAAATATTATTTAAATTTAAACTGAATAGTTGTCATTATCAAAGACTGACATAGGAGTTTGATTTGCAATAGAATTCCTCCTAACTGACACCTCTATTCCTAATTTTAAGGTGCCTTAAATAGGTGTACAACATATCCAGACTATTTATATTCACACATAACATATATAGATTGTTACAAAGTTCTTTCCCAATATTTTCACAGTGCTTTTCATTCTAAGAACAGGCAGAACACAAGTTGCCATGGATTTTGGGTACGATCAACTTATTACTGTCCCAACAGACATATGGAGAAAGGGATTGGTAAGTATATAATATAAATTCTGCCTGTATAATATATAATATATCATCCTGTTTCTAAGTTTTCTGATTTTACCAGATACTTAGCAGTAACCTTACTGCAAATATGAAGCATGTCGGTCAGCAAATCATGGTTGAATTCCAGGGAAATTAAACTGTGTTTGCAAATTTACATATTACAAAAAAAAAGATGTCAGTTGTGGGGGAATGCTCTAGAAGAATTCTTTACATCCATTGGTGTATCTCCTCACACAAAAATTCATGTTGTTTACCATCAACAAAGAAAAGTTCTTCAGTTATTTTATTTTTTAAATGATGGAACACAGCGGCTCACATCAGATCCAAGTGCAAATATTGGCAGTCGTTACCTTTTGGAATTGAATCCAAACGTTGCCAATCAATGTGTAAGTTCTTGTAACAAGAATTTCATATATGGTACTTTGCTTTTAATCTTTTAATATGTGGAATTATTTCACATCTGTTCTATCTTCCTCCTGACCTTAGGTTATTAACACACAGTACTTTAAAGCCATAAATTGGCCTTCAGAACAAAAGCTTTCATTGGTAATTGATGATAATCAGAAGCAGTGGAAGTTTCAGATATATACCCAAGAAGATGATCTAGCAGGTTTTGAAGGCCCTATGTGGGAAGAATTCCATGACTTTTATTTAACCCACTATGAATGTGTAAATGTTATATTGATTTACAGGAAACCAATACTTTAGAGTCAGGGTATTTAACAAAGAAGGGTACTGTTTCAGCCATCATCAAAACACAGTCGGTTCAGACACATATGAAGGTTTGTATAAGTTTATGTCAGCTGTTTACTACTTTGTATTTCATTATATATAAATTCATATATCTTCCTATGTGTTTATATAGAAATCATAACAAGTGTAATATTTTCTTCACAGGTGAGGTTGACATAATTAACTACATAAGGTCCAACAGCGATCAGAATACTTTCAATGTGGTTATGACCAATGATGTAATTACAAAAGGCCGACTGGTAAAAATTTGTGAACTGTTTTAATATTACATCTTACTTATAATATGTAACAAAAGTTTTTTAATTGAATTGTGTTTTTCCTCAACAAGTTTAAATGTACTGACTCAATTATTTGCCACAGGAGATACCATGGCACATTGTCAGAAGATTGGACATTCAAGACTATCAATTGTTGATCCTATACTACGATGGAGAACCTATAATGAGTATGGTTCGCGCCAGTTCTGGAGATTTTCCACATCGCTTCATTGTTTAAGGAGACCTCCAATATATGATGACTTTGAAAAGGATCCCAACTGGTATAAAACTCGGATTTCGTATAAATGCCCAGAAGGCAGCCAACAAAGAGTCATTGATATTGGAAGTGCTGTAATCAAGTTTAAGTGTATTTTTTTTTCATTTTCGGACAATAAGTTTTTTTTTTTTAATAAATTTCAGTACAATGATTTTCAACCTTTAGTTAATTTTATTTTTGGACATTTATTTGGTCATTACACATTTATTTTTATGTCAACAATGTCATCAATCCATTTCCTGCAATCTTTCATGTACATATTAATAATATATTTCACTTTACAATTTTATTCACATATATATAGTACTTAATAATCTTTTATTTTGGAAAATATTTAACTTTATTTAATACCATGAATTGTGTATTGCTGTAAAGATATAATTACCATATTTAAAATATATTTTGACTTAAGCTTTTATTCATATCCATAGTACATAATTATTTTATAGTTTGGAAATATATTCTTTTATTTAATACCATGGATTGTATAATTCTGTAAATTGCTTATTACCATTATTAAAATTCCAGTCCTTTTTCAGCTTACTGTTATGGAATCCTGTATTTACTTCATTATAATTGATACTTATCAAAATGTTGTCATCTTTATCATTTACATATATAAGATAAGTTACTCAACCACTAACAATCATCAATAACAAACATATTCTTCTTGACAGAAGTACAGTAAAAGATTATCTACTTTTTCATAATTATTCACTGGATATTCTATAATCCATTGGTTTTTTAAGAAGAAGGAAAAATTATATGAACGACGATGAAGATTTCTGATACAAAGGCTGCAAGGTTATTCAGAAAGCAGACATTGGACAAGAAAAGGAATAGAGTTCTTCGACCTATAAGATATGTTAAAAGTCAAGTTCCTATAAGATTACCACGGCCTGATCTATTGACTGCTAAGATCTCAAGGTATCAGAGGAAGAATATCTTATATCAGAGACGTTTCAGTTTAGTTATAAATAACCAATCTCCAGTCATCTCCAACAGGCAAAGACCATTTTCTGGAAAGTGTTCTCGATTGGAGAGGAAGAAACAGCTTGATAAAAAGAAGGGCAAAGTTATTCCCGAAGAACAACCTGTTACCCTTGGTGGTATTGTTATAAATGATTCCAACAATTTCACAGGAAATGTTTTCAGGAATACATTTTCGCAACAAATTAAATATACCGCAAGTGCTAATCAAGGTTGCAATTCCAATTCACAGTTACATAAAACTGTAACTAAATTTAAAGGTACATATTATATTCCAAGTTTACCTTTTCTTTTCAAGTGTGCATTGTACTTAACAGTTACACAGACTGATTTGACATAAAGATAATACATACATCTAAAAAAGTACCTGTATTATTATGTTTCTTCATATGAAATCACATTGTCAGAATTTGTCAGCTGATTCAGCTGAGATTTTGTCTCCAGAATCATCTATAACCCATCGAAGCTCAAGCAGTCGAGCTAAACAGGGTTTGCGGCCTGGAAAGTATCAAATCAACCACATAAATTTCACTCACATAAATACAGGGAAGTTTGAATCAAATCTAAATGCATATATTACTCACAGTAAGTTTCACTTTTCTGACAATAACATGCCTCATTATTTGTGTTCTGTAGCATTATTTATGGGATTACATGAAGAGGAATGTAGCAGAATATGTTGCAACTTTTTTGACATGCCAACAAGTGAAACTTGAACATCAATGTCCCTCAGGTTTGTTGCAGCCCTTGGAAATCCCTGAATAGAAGTGGGAGCATATTACGATGGATTTCGTTGTTGGTTTACCAAGAACTAGAGCAGGACATGATGCTATATGGGTTATGGTTGATAGACTTACAAATCAGCTCACTTTCTTCCTGTTAATATTAAATACTCACTGGAGAAATTGGCAAGAGTCTATTTGAATGAGGTTGTTTGACTACATGGGGTGTCAACAACTATTGTTTCTGATAGAGGTCCCCGCTTTGTATCTCGATTTTGGCAGCAGTACAGCAAGCTTTAGGCACCAAATTAAGCTTCAGTACCTCAGCTCACCCTCAGACTGATGGACAAAGTGAAAGAACCATTCAAACACTTGAAGACATGCTCCGTGCTTGTGTCGTTGACTTTGGAGGAAGCTAGGATCATCACTTAACTTTGATTGAGTTTTCTTATAATAATAGTTATCATTCTTCTATTGGAATGACTCCTTATGAAGCTTTGTATGGAAGGAAATGTCAAGCACCTGTTTATTGGGAAGAAATTGGGGAGCGTAAACTCAATTCTTTAAGTGTTCCAGGGATGGAAGAGGCTTATGAATAGGTGAAGTTAATAAGGCAACTATTGAAAACTGCCCAAGGTCGCCAAAAGAGCTATGCTGATAATCATAGAAGAGATCTGGAATATGAAGTTGGAGACAGAATTTTATGAAAATATCACCAAAGAAGGGATTAGTTAAGCATGGCAAGAAAGGGAAACTGAGTCCACGCTACATTGGTCCATTCAAGATCGTTAAAAGAGTTGGAAAGGTTGCTTACAAACTGGAATTGCCTCCTAATCTTTCAAGAATGCATGATGTTTTCCATGTTTCACTGCCTAAGAAATATAATCCCAACCCTGATCATGTACTTCAGTTTAAAGGATTAGAGTTGGATGAAAATTTATCATTTGAAGAGAAACCTATAAAGATTCTAAGAAGGAGACTAAGGAGTTAAGAACCAAAAAGATCCCATTGGTCAAGGTATTGTGAAAACACCATGGGATCAAAAAGGCAACATGGGAACCGGAAGAGGATATGAAGAACAAATATCCTGAACTCTTTACGAATAAGGTAGGAATTTCAAAGACAAAATTCATTTAAGGGGGTACGGTTGTGAGGTCTCATATCTTACATGTTTTATTAAGCCATGTTTTAACAATTAGTATTGCTGTTATAAAGTTTAAGTCTTAGGGGTGAGTTATTGTGTATTAATTTGAATATTATAAGTGTGTGTAGGTAAAATACCTCTAAGACCATAATAGAAGTAATTGGCCATTTAGTTATTTTATAATTAGGAGATAAAATAAACATAAATAAATAAATAGAGTGGAGGAGGAAATGAATAAATACATTAGTATAATAAGTGAACCAGCTCTAACTAGGAGCTGGCCAACATATACACAAACTAAAATGTGACTAATTAAGTCTACCAGGCTAGTTAAATAAAATAATAGCTTGATTAGTAAAAAAAAAGAGAGAGAAGAAAAAAGAAGAAAAGAAAGGGGGCTGGAAACGGGAAGGACAGAGAGGTTGAGGGGAGGAGAGAACTAGGAAGTTGAATAAGGAAAACAACTCGAAATTGTGCTTGGGAGCTAAGGGACATCGACAAGCTGCAGAAGTGAGTAATCCTTTCTCCCTTGTTTGATAATTGGGAATCTCATTTTAAGATTCCAATTAGTTTACATATTGAGATTTGGAGGATTTAGGGATTGTGGGAATGAAGAAACACACAAGAAGCTTGATGATTATTGCATGTTCTTCTATTGTAACTTGTAATCTTTAGTAACTTGCAAGAAAGATTGATGTCTTTGTTTTCTTTTCTGATATTTTTTTCTTTTAGGAAGGAGTAGCTGCAGATGATTCTCTGCTTTTTTTTCTATTACATGCCTTATTTACTAAAGAAATTAAATATGTTGAACTTGAACTCGTAGGAGTATCGAATCGGAGTCCGTTCTTGAAGCTGAAACCTCTTGTCTTTTGATGTCTGTTCTTGCTAAGCTTTTATTTGATTTCATTCACCATTTGATGGTGTGTTGGTTCCTCTTGTGTTTGTTTAATTGGAGTAGGGATAGTCTCAAAAAAGAAGTTTTTTTTGTGCATGCTGTAGTTCTGGAATTTCAGAAATTACCTGGTCTGAATAGCTGTTTTGCAGAGCCTCGGTCTCCTATCTCTGAAAATATGTTTAGAGATTTTTTTTCATGAATACCTTCTTTATTCAATTTAGTTTAACCTGGTTTTTACAGTTTATCAATCGGATTTACAGATTAATCAGAATTTGGATTTGAAAATGCCCAATCGTTAAGGATGGTCTGATTCTGAAAAATTCCTGGTGCAAGGTAATGATTTCAAAGTCGAGTTTCTTCTATTTAACAAGTCGTTTTTTCGTGATTTCTTTCATTGAATCCATTCTATGTTTAACCTAGTTTTTACTGGTTTTAACGGTTTCCAAAAGTTGGACATGTGGTTGGACAGGAAATCGACAATGAAAAGAGGTCATTACTGCTGCGATTTTTGAATTTTCAGAACTGATAGATTGACCTTGAAACTTTTATTTTCTCTGTGATTTAATGCTCTTATCTTACTGAATCACTGCGTTTTTACTTTCTAAACAGTAAGTAATGAGTTAGCATCTCTAAACATCAAACAAATGTTATTTTAAATAAGAATAATGACCATTTGCTTATATCTAGTTTAGATTTCTAGGAGTTAGAAACCTGAGTTAAGTTGGATTACATTTATGCATCTATCTTTAATTTAATAATTGAAATGCTTTAAGAAAACCCTTGTTAAGACACCTTAAACTTGCAGATTGCTTAGAGGATACTCATGTGAGTTCGGAAGAGGTTTTGGAAGATATTTTGGAGCAATATCAGGATGAGCCAATTAGGTATTTCCAATTCCGTTGTTTATGGTTTGTGTTATCATTACTTTCTATGTGTCATTTAAATTACCCCTTATGGTATTTCCCGTTGTGTACTTTATCGCACCAGGAAATGTCATATATGCATGTAACTTGTTATGTGGTTGTCAAGAGTTTTTTTGAGCATGAATTGCTATGTTTTTTAGAAGACTTGGATGTGTACATTACCACACTAGTCTTGGGGCCCCTGCCACTATATATCGAATCCAACAAATTGACAAAGGGAATCGACGTATGGACAAGATTATGGATAGTTTGAGTAGCCGTGCACGTGCTACGAATACTTGCTATATTGTGGCCACTTGGTGTAAAGGGGAATGAGTTGCTTCTTGAATGAACGAATGGATATCTTCTTTGAGTTCAGTTGGAAATTGACCAACAAGGCCATATAGGCCCTTGGCTTTTCCATAATGTGCCTCACATGTATCCTCTCTTGTTGTGAAAGATGATCCTGGACGTGATCATCTTATTGTGTTGAATGATTCTTGATCTTCTTGATGTTGATGTACTGCTATTACTTGAGTTATTCTTGTGTTGTTGTCAAAATGTGCTATTTAATCGTGAATAAATGTATTGCCTGAATTTAAATGACTCTAGATGGTTGTGATAATACAATCAAATTGGAACTCTATTGGGCTTAAGCTCACCCTTTAATATTTTTTTTCCCTCCTGCAGCTCCTTCGGAGGAGGAACTCGGATATTGGGGCTACAATTCATGAGTTTGGTTGTGGCTAGATATTTTGTGATGTAAATATGTGTAGTGCTCACCTATATCTCTCTTCTTTTGTTGGCTTATGTAATCAGTAGCTATTAGAGTTCCATTTTGAGTTGTAAACCTGTTGGTAGCAATCGCCATGTGGTGGTTGTGTGTAGGTTGAACTCTCAGCTCAGGTTGCATTTGTCTAGCCCTAAGTAAGGTACAAGTATCTAAAAGTAGTTTAAGAGTTAGGTTGATGCCACTGGTTTGTTAGCTTTTTAATCTAAACTAGGTCCTTTGACTTAGTAATGTAAATGCAGACCTTAATATTTATTTTCAATAGAATGCAACTCGATGCTTTAGTCATTAAGAGTTAAAATTAGTTTTTTTTTTTAAAAAAAAAAATTTTGAGTCCTAGTACGAGCTTTGTTGACACTCAACTTCATTTTTCTTATAAAAAAAGGGTGAAGTTGGGGCATCAGAACCACTCCAATATCTCCTCCGAAAAAAGGTTTCTAATTTATATTCGAATGACCGCGCATGAGGCCGAAAATCACGCTAGCCGAAAGCTACGGTACCATCTGCCTCGAAGTATCCGCCGCTCCTTACACACTGCAGCTCATCACACACGCCCACTCCGATATCTCCTCCAAAAAAAGGTTTCCAATTTATTTGTGAAGGGCCGCACAAGCAGCCGAAAAGCACGCTAGCCAAAGACTACGTGACCATCTGCCGCGAAGTATCCGCCGAAACTCACAAACGCTCTCTTTTCATACACGCTCACTCCTCACACACACCCCTCCGATATCTCTCTCGAAAAAAAAGTTTCCAATTTATAATCGAAAGGTCGTGCAGGTGACTGAAAAGCACGCTTGCCGAAGGCTATTTGACCATCTGCCGCGAAATATCCGCCACAACTCACACACGCCCGCTCCTCACACACACCCACTTCGATGTCTCCCCTC